CAAAAAAATCCAAAACACCAAAACCAAAGGAAAAGAAAACCAAAAAAACAAACAAAAAAAAACAACCAACAAAATCCCCTCAAACCCCCATGATGATCAATGTATGTGGATTGGTGAGAAACATACATTTGTTTGATGTGATAATGAGAATAATGTGTCAAAACACCTTTAAAGCATGGAGGGATGCAGTAATCCCAGGTCCTGTTCATTCCTGTCTTCTCTTAGGGGAAAAGTCAGGACCAGTTCTCACCAGGCTAGATTTACTAGGAGTGATTTTCTCATATTGCCTTTGAGATAAACTTTCATTTGGCCTACTGAACAGGTTAAAAGAATAGAGACATAGGACTTTAATAAGCTTAAAAAATAGAATTAATAACTTTTGGAGGGGAGGTTGTGTATGCTTGATTGCTGATAAATATTTGTGTGTCAGTAGTCTTGAACAATAGCATTAACAAAGTTCAGAATTTATTTTAAATCACATCATATTGTATTGCAATATGTTGCACCTGGTTTAACTCTTATTTTGATTCCCTGGGCTTGCCTTTGTAAATTAGCTAAACTAGAGTCATAAATTGTTATTGTTAAGTACCATTAAGTCAAGTATGATTCATAGCAACCCTATGAACAACAGATCTGACCCCCAGTTCTTTCTACCCTGTGCAATCCTTATCATTTCTGACACATTTGAGCCCATTGCTGCAGTCACTTTGTCACTGTATCTTTCTGAGGGTCATCCTCTCTTTCACTGAACCTCCACTTTTCCAAGCAAGATGCCTCTTTCCAATAAATAGCCCCTCCTTACAACATGTTCTAGTGGTCTAATGGTAAGAAGCTGTGTTGTCATCCTGAAGGCACACAGTTCAAAAATAGTTTTGTGGAAGAAGGATAGGCAATCTCCTGTGTGGTTTATTTACTGCCTCTGAAAATCTGCCAGAGGGTCAGTAACAGGTCAATTCTGACTCAAGAGCACATAACAAAATGATGCTCAAAATATGTGAGATGAAGCTTCACCATCCTTGCCTTTAAGAAGCACTCTGGATGCACTTCTTTCTACAAGACATAGCTATTTGTTCTTTTGCTTGTCTGTGAGATATTCAGTACTCTTCTCCAACACCACAGTTTAAAGGCATCAGTTCTTCTTCTTTAATTTCTAAATAGTTGCATACACAAGCATGAAAAACCCCCACTATGAATGATCTCTTACTCCCCCAAAAATGTTACTGTTTAAAGAAATAAGCAAGAATTCCAGGTGTAGATAAAAAGTTCTGTTTATCTCAAGGACAGAAGATGGTTACCTCAAGCCATAGAAAAATAAAATAATAATGTAACAAATAGGCTAGTGTCTGAATACGATCTTCCTCAATAGATTGAAAAATACAAACATTGAGCGGAAAAGTTTAAACTCTGTCTGTTATAGTAAAATACGAATTGTCTCTCCAGGTTCTCTCTATAAACCTTGCAACTCTGAACATGAAATAATAAAGTTTTAAGTACATTGGTAACTCACTAAGGTATAAAAACCTTGACAACATGTAAAGAAGCAAGAGAGTCTTGGAGAATGATTCCACCTACCTTCCCGATCTCTTAATAAAGTCTATGAGAAAGAGCAAGTTCAACTAATCATAGATCCAGCTCATGACTGTGGAAATGACCTTTTTTTGTTTGTTCAGTGACAGTCCAAGAATTGTTTTTATCGTATTAAACAGTCTGGTAGAGAGTATTAAACAATCTGGTAGAGAGGGTATTAGAGATTGCATCTCTGAAGGTAAGAAGCTGAAACTATCAAATAGACTATTAAAATTACCAATAAATAAAGTACTTAAATAAAATTATTTTAAAAATTGAATACCAGTAGCTTTCCATGAACAGAAATTCAAATTGACATATTTTTATCTTGTTCATTTTGTTCTTCTTTGAATACAATGATATATTTATGTTGAAATAAAAAAAGTATGGAGGGTAAAATTTACCTTTTTTTCCTTTCCTTTAAAAAAACATCTACCTATAAAACATATATTCACAAGTGGGAAAATATCCTGCTCTGGTCATTTTGCTGACTTCTTCTTAAATGAGCTCATTTTCAGAGTTGTTTTGTTCCAAGCTGTGCTCCATTCAGCTATCAGAATCATCTTTCTTTAATGAAAAGCTGTCAGTCCTGAAATTGACAACCATCAAGCAGTCCTATGAGACTTAAAAATAAAAGCTGAACTCTTAAGCCTAGCAAATAATATGAATATATATGAGGTATTTGAAATAATTTTGAAACTATAACTTTTGGTTTATTATTCCTAAACTAGTTTCCTGATCTGACTGATGATAACACCATTAACATGTTTTAGTGAGCAATTCATCTTTCAGAACCAGCTGAGAGATAAGCAAGAAGACTAACAATGTTTATGACTGGTACCTTTTGGAACTTGAAAATTTAAGGTTGAACAAAAGGGGAAATTGACAAGGCATAAAGAACTTGACTTTTTAGGAAGGGAAGAATTTTTATAGAGGGAAATAATTTTACTTAGACACTTGGGCCCAAAATTACATATAACAAGATTCTTCCTATAGTTTCTGGAAGAATGGATGGTCCATAATTTTAACAATTAATGTCTTTGGTTGTTCTGAAATTCCTTTATTCACGAAGGTTATTTTTTTACCTCACTAAATAAAAGACATCAGGTTTGAATTAGAAT